ATTAGGAATCAAAGTATTTAAATAAAAACATACATTTTTAGATTTACGTTGCAAACGCAATCACACCTAAATAATTGTAAATTAAATTAACTAATTGTTGCCTGCGACTCCGTGCGTAAGGGATTTAAAAAAAGGTTTATAAAGTAGTCTATGTGTTCTTCCAGACTATGTTCTACATCTATGCCAAATTATAGCGAGATCCATTGAACCGTTCCGGAGATAACTTCAAACAAACATCCATCCATTCGACCATTCGCATTTATAAATTGTAAAGTTAGGAACGGCTTAACTTCGAGTTTAATAAATTTATGTAGTACTAGAGTGTAATTTGTTAAAGTACTATTAACAGATATTTAAATAATGTCTCATTTTCCTTTAAAGATCCACCAAACTATTAAAATCTTGACTAGAACACCATCCATCTTGTATAGACTACTCACGTTACACTTTGTCACTCAACAATTTCATTATTAGTTTTTCATGCCAGTAGCTTTTAACAGCCACACTTTAAATTCAGAAGCAGTTCTTTAGTGATCAGATAATGAACCTGAATGGGTCAGTTCTTCATGCATGGTCATTTACCCCAATCCTGTTGCAATTGACGTCAAACAATCCCGCAGAGACTACGAGCATTGACCCTTAACTGGAACCTTTTTACAGCGCGTATAGTGTATAGGCAGTATTGAGATGTTGCGAATTTCATTCACCGTTCAGTTCATTCTCGGTCACAGCACTTAAATCGTTCATCAACTTACGTTACGTATTTAGGACCTGTTCACGTTTTGATTACAAAGGTTTTTTTTACAATGATGACGCACTGACTTAATCTTTATAAAAAATGTTAAGCAGTTTTAACAAATCATAACGTGAACAACAAAATAATGAAGATTTTCAAATGTTATATCTTACTAATATTAAAAATGCGCACGTTTATATGGATGTTTGTTTGAAGATATCTTCGGAACGGTTCAACAAATCCCGCTAAATTTGTCATAGAGGTAGAACATAGTCTGAAGGAAGATATATGCCACTTATTAATTCTTTTTAATCCTGCGCGGACAGAGTCGCGGGCGACAGCTAGTTTAAAAATATTACCTTGCATGATTCCATTTATTATTCTAATTTTTATTAATTAATAATATTTCTGTATAAGAATATGTCATTGAATATTCTATGTATTTCGCGTTAAAATTGATTTAAAATGATTGAAGCATTAGAAATAAAAATCTATTTGGCAATCTAATTCGGTATTATCCGAGGCGCATGCGCATTGCACAGCTAACGAAACCGGTTTCAACAGTGGCGGTCTCTAGCCTCAAAACCTTTCTCTTTCGTCTGACTGACATAGTTAGCAAGTCTTGAGCAATTCATTGCAAATGACATTTTTGCCTTATTTTCAATTATCAGTTTTTTACAATTCACATTTATGTGGCAACCCTGAACGGAACTGTTAACACATGCGCTTTTATTTCACGCAAATTGAATAAAAATTTTGGTTTTAAATTTACAGACCTTGTCTTTAAAAAGTTTGATGTTATCTTTACTATGATTCGTATTTTATAACCGAATTAAGTACATGTCAATAAAATAATAATAATAGTAAATTTTACGGATTTGAAAATGTTTAAGAGCGAGAGAGAGAGAGGGCAATATTCTCTTTCTTTTTCAGTAAATAGTTGGATTAAACGATCTTAATTTGTTTGAGATAAAATTTATTACGCAATAATTTATACTTCCGTAGCTAGAAACATCTCTACGTAACATCTTAAGCATTTATATGATAATTTTAATATCAAAGTAAACATCTACCGGATCCTTTAAACATTTTGTGAGTCATGGAGTCATCGATATAGCTCTAATATTTATTATGCTTTCACACGAGTACAGTAAAATAAGGTAGAGTAGTATAACAATATAGTACTGCTACAGAAGAATTCAATTTAAGTAGTACGTATATGTTCAAACAATTGCAGTACTGTTCTACCTCACTGTGCTACCCTCGTGAAAAACAAGCATTACGTTAGATTACAGTATTTTTATATTATACTTATCTTTTTTATTGCCTTTAAACTTTCCTGCCATTTCTTAATAAACATTCGCTAATCTATAGTGCACTTAATTTTATTTAATTAATTCTAATTTTAAATCTGAATGAATTGCATAAATTCTCATTTCAAAATGTTTAAATAACTTTTATTATCATAGTTAAAATATTGATAAATTAAATTAATTAAATTAGGTAGATTATGGGTTTTAATAAGTTTTATTTCTGATTACATTGAAAGGTTCGGGTACGATATCTTTTTTCAGGTTAAAGGGTACGAGGTCAAAGGAATCTGTGTCATAATGACATAGTGATATGATTCAAAACCAGAACTGCAATCGATAATTACCACAATATAGCCTACAGTGTAACCAATAATAGACATTTAACACGTTGAGCGCCACGCGTATTTCTAAGACAATCCCGTTCAGGCCACGAGCGCTGCTTATACGCATATAAAAGGGCCGGTGTTTGCAATCGCAGTACCAAATTGTTTGCATTTTTAACGCAAAATAGTGTAAATTTTTTATAGTTCTCATGTTACACGCTGTCAGCCAACGATGGTTGACGCGACGTAAACAGCGGTGGCTGACGCGGCCTAAACGTAAACGGAAAGTCTAGTGTCAGCCACGGATGGCTGACGCGGCGCTCAACGTGTTAAAAAATAAATCAATGTAGCTTGGATTTCCACTGACAAACTTATTCAAAATTCGTCTTTTGATCCTCTTTGGAAATACAGATAATAATTTTTACAACTGCAGAGAAATTCCAAGGCTTTTACCTTTTAATATGAGTATAATGTTACTTCTTACTAATATTATAATTGCGAATGTATGGATGGATGGATGGATGTTTGTTTGAAGGTATCTCGAGAGCGGCTGTATGGATCTCGCTGATATTTGATATAAATGTAGAACATAGTCTGGAAGAACACATGAACCACTTAATATTTTTAATAGCGCGCGGTCGTGTCGCGAACTACAGCTAGTAATGGTTTTTAAAATTGAAATTTAAATAAAATGATAATTCATTTTTTTGCATTTAATTTATTACGTGATCCTCGGTTATTGTGATAAATGTTGCCATAGGTTAAAAAACCCGTTTTCGAGTTGTTTCGAAATTTAAATCGGCAAATGTCAAGATTAATTATTTTTTAATATGTTATTCATTACCGGCTGGAAACGGCAAACGTTGCAATGTCAAAAGTCTAAATATTATTAAATGTCATAGTGCACGCAAAATTGGCAAACATTTTTAAAGCAAAAACCTTATCAGGGGTCCTTAGAATACTCTGCCAAATATTAACATATTATACTGGTTCAGGAAAAGATAAGGAACAAATATACAAACATTTTTTGTCTCTTCAGAGATTACTCAGACCAAACGGGGACGGACAGACGGACAATTTTTTTTTATTATAAGTAATGCAAACACAACATGATTTCTTTATACATAAAGACACTCCAATTATTTTATTACTGCATCCTATGGGTATGTGTCGAATTGGCCCGGCTCGCCCGGTGAAATACTACGACCACACAGAAGACAGGCGTCAAGTGGAAGCTATTCCGCGTTTCTTCTGATGAGTGTGCGTCCCGGAGGCCTAATTAAGTCCTTTTTCCCTTCCCACTCTTATTCTTATAAGGAAAGGATGGGAAGTGGAAGTGGACTTTCCAGATGAGAGGATGCATGGAAAGGGAAAATATTTTCTTTCTGTGCATCCTCTCCTCCGTCGATTAAAGGTAGGCAACGCATATGCAATTGCGTATGTCTATGGGCAACGGTCACTTCGCTATTTCAGCGATTTCAGGTGGCCGCTCGCTCGTTTACCACCTTATGATACAAAAAAAATGGGTATGGGTAAAACTTGTATGTATAAATTGAATGAGAAACAAAACAATTTCCTTTATCAATGACACGTGTTTACAATACAGTTAAATAACATAAAAAATTCACGTGAGAACTGACATATGTTTCTTGAGGCAAAGCATTTAAAACTTTTTGTACACAATCGATAAACATGTTTATTTATAAGTTACTTTAAATTAACGTAATTGTTGATTAATTAAATATCCCGCGGATCGTTTGCTCCTTTCTCTTATAAAAAAACGTATTAAAGGTTGTCCAGCTATTAAGTAAATCATTGTTACTGATAGTTTATTCTTGACTTGCAATCTGCATGTCCTGGGTTCGAATCCCACTATGTACCAATGTGTTTTTCCATTTCAGTTTTACATATGTACATTTATCCGACGTTCTTACGGTGAAGGAAAACATCGTGATGAACAACGTGCACATATCTGAGAAGTAATTCAAAGATATGTGTGAAGTCAACCAACCCGCACTTGGCTATCGTGGTTGACTATGGCCTAATCACCCTTAACTTAGAGTAGGTTCCGAACCCCTGGGTTGGGAACGTATAGTGAGCTGATGATAGTTTATTGCCCCTTATTTTCTTTGTCTTTCAATCGCTGTCGTCCTTCATACACACTTAAGCGCGTATCTTATCCCTTATTAGATTCCTAATAAGTACTCGACACGATCTAATTATCTCCGTACTTCAACGATTTGCAGCCATACTTAATTTATAATAATATTGATAACGAAGTGTCGAGTTGCATGCTATTACTACGTGCGGAATTGATTACGGAAATGGACGAAGCATGACCATATATTTATTTGAAGTATTGCCGCATCAAGATACGTTAATTGGTCATCTTTAGGGCTCACCTTAGTAACCAATTAACTTTAGCGTTGGTATTGCCTTCGTGAAGAATAGAAATGTTTTTTATCTTTTTTCAGCATGACATAACTTAGTATAAGTTGTCGAGAACATAAATTTGCAACAAAAATATTTTTAAAAGCCTTTTAAGTTTTATAATAACTCTTGTTCCAGTTGTGTTAAGTAACTGATAATTTTCTATTATAATATTTACAATTAATTTTCTATTTTCAGATAAACCTCTGCCGATAGTCGATCCTACGTTAGACTCGTCAGAAGAAGGTCACGCAGCGCAATGCGCCTGCCCCAACTGCGATGAAGTTCTCTCCAGATTCTCAGAATGCAGCATATGTCTAGAACCCTTACAGGTTAGTATTAAACATAAATAATTACTAAAAACAAAAGAAGATCGACTGTACACATGCCGGAGTAGAATACGAATCAAGTGACAAAAAGCACTTCGAAATCTCAAGCATCTATAGAAGGTCGCAATCAAACAAACGTTTTACTAATATTATAAATGCTAATGTTTAGATAGATGTTTGTTTGAAGGTATCTACGGAACGACTCAACGGATCTTGATGAAATTTGTCATAGACTTAGAGAACAGATAGGCTACTAATTAATTTTCTTTTAATTCCGCGCGGACGGAAGCGCGGACGACAGCTAGCATGTAAAACATGTGCCAAACAATAATCTGCCAAACAAGCAATATAGTGGTGTTGTTGCGTAAAATTTTATCAATCTAGTAAGAAATTCATTAGTTAATCATAGGATTCTTTGTTAATTATAGACATAAAAATACTTTTTGAATCTAACTTCAAATAAACAATTAGGGGATAAGACAAAGGGACCTTTATATATGCTTGAATATTAATTAGATTGCGTGTGTTCACTATGGTATTTATATCCATGGGGACAACCGCCATATGTCACGTCACATTGTCATATCGCGTGTGTCAACGGTATTTCGCTAAACCTTCCTGTATCATCACTTTTTATTAAACACTAACTTTCTCGAACTCCGTCCGGGTACAATTAAAATAAAACTTAATGATTAGTATATGTATTCTTCCAGGTTATGTTCTACATCTATGCCAAATTTTAACGAGATCCATGCAGCGGTTTTGTAGATATTTTCAAACAAACATCCATGTGAACAGTCATATTTATAATATTAGTAACACGTAAGATATCACTTGATCACAAGCCCATTTTAATTGGCGTTGTTTTAATAAGACGTAAGAATATCTGAGAAATACTGACGTCAAGTCAATGCACAATGAACAAAGATTTCCATTTCGAAATTAATAAAATAAAGGTGTATTTTAATAAAGAATGAGTAACATTATGAAAAGCTATTGTATCTGCACCATGGTATATATATAGATTTTGACGAAAATAAAAATAAAATTACTCATAACCAATAATGGTTCAATGCTTTTTTACATATATGCAGATATTGCATGAACGAAATGAGAACAACAATGCTATGAAAATCTCTCATAAGCACTTATTGAATTAGCTGAAGAATTCTATTGCTGACGTTTTTCTAATTGGATATTAAAAAAGTTACAATAGCCCGATTACAAACCGGGGAAAACCTCATACTGAATTGAATCACTCGTCATAATCGTGGGCGACAAACATAAAAAATCCTTCCATGCGTTGCTAAGACATAGGAAATTATAAATTCTGTATGCTTTCATAATGTTAAGTATTTCAAGTCTCAAGGCAAGTGAAATACCTTAGAGCAGGTGTTTGCAAAGTTGAGCTACTGGGTGAAATAAACCTCGTATCTTGTACGTTGAAGGGAGAGCTTATGGCACCGTAACCGCTCACCTACGACGAAGATCGAACTTTAAGATTCTATCAAAACATAAAGATCACAGTAACATAAAAATTAACATAAATGCATTTAAAAACGTAAACAAATAAAATTAAATTTAAATATATTGTGTTTTAAAACATGTTTTTGCTATAAACAACTTAGGTGTCCTTTAAATGTGGTAAGAAGGGCAAAAGATATTTTGACCTTGTTTACTATATTATTTTTATTTAGTTTATTACTCGAAGGGACAATCGGTGTAAATGTTTTTAGGTCCCATTTGCACGGACGCTTTTATATATCACGTTAAAAAAACGTTCAAGTAAAACATTTGCTTTTGCATTTTCATATATCTGTTCATATAGCAGCGCTTTTAAAACGCGACGCTTTTATCGCGCAGTGTTTACTTTTGAGCGCTGGTCGCACGGAACAAGATTTTAAAACGTTCGGCCTTTAAGACCCGGCGAAATCAACGCGTGAAAAAAGCGCCCGTGCGAATGAGATCTTACCTGTGTTATGATCTATCCGTCGTACGTATTTAGTGACATTCGACTTTACAATACAATACCTTGTAGTTCTGTTTTATATTTTCTTGGTTGCGTTTTATTTTTTGGTGATATCAACTGCGTTGCTTTTATCTGCAAAATATTTTTTTTGCATATTTCAAGCACGCACGTACACATAATTTTAAATAAAAATAGGTTTTAATTATTTTACTTATAATTAACTAATAAAACTTTAATATTATACGTAAAGCTTTTTATAAAACGCCACTTTCTGCCTCTAAAACACTTGTGCAAATTTTATGGTAACGCAATATAATATGTACTTTAACGTTCAACGTAACGAGGCCGCACCTTAACCCGAACGATGCAACTTTAAACAAAGTTCACTAACTACACGAATCCGTAACATCGTTCAACTTTAACAATATTACTGAGTGAAGTTCTTAGAGCCTTATGAACATAATTGTAAAATGACCACAACAAAAGCATAATTATATATTCGTTAGTTTATAAACTTACTACCTGTAATATAGACTTTAGAAAAATGACAAACTCTTCAAGCAATTGTAAAGGGAAATCCATAAACTCTACCCACACTACTAAATTACGGGTTGAAGTGGTCTCCATTAAGGTTTCACTACATTTTATGTTTACACAAACTATATCCATGAAATGGTCAAATAATAAACTTACGAGAATTATGATTGCTCTGCTTTCTACGTTCATTTCCAGTAAAAGATTTACTTAGCAACATTCTTTGCACTGATACGGGAACAATGAAGCCAGACAAGTATGCTGCAATCTTGAGCTCTATAAAGCAACATTTTAAATTGCGTCTTAGAAATATTATAAGATTCTTTCATATACGTATCATTATTAGATTAAAATATTAAATTCCTAAGATTTATTTACTTCACTAACCGTGAGTTTCTAAGACTAAAATGCACATTACAAACATATTGTCATCATTGTTTTGTCAGAAATAATGACAGGGATGATATGTTTTATACAGATATCTTGGTCTCGAAAACCAACGGTAAGATAGGAACGTTTGACGCTTAAACCAAACTGTATGATGCATCTGTTGGCAAAATTTTTGGTTGTATATATATTTACGTTTTCTTTTTTAATTTGTAATTGTGCGATAATTTTAGTTGTTATGTATACTTATATACTTATATAAATAAATAAAAATTATTCGAACAATCTATTGACATTAAAATGTTAGCTATTAATGTAAAACAAATAACGCAAGTACAACGTTAAACGTGACCACTGATAATGGCCGATAACTTGAAGGAAAACATCTCTAAGTACCTCATTACATATGATAATAAATGAGTCGCGTTCTTTTGTTATTGTTATAGAAATAATTGTTATTGTTATAATCTTATCGAGTATTCCAGATTACGTTTATGAAAATCTATGCTATCCTAATTTGAATTTATTAGTTTTAGTTGTTTTTGAAATAGCTTGACCTTGATTTTAAAAGTGAGTCAGTTGATTCGTATTCTTACCCGGATTGTCAGAGAAGTGTGAATCGGACTAAGTGATTTCGAAGTTTCTAGTCACACACAACTGTATTGCTTTAAGCTTGTGTCAAATTCCATAGTTTCGTACAAGGGGTAAAAGCATTGAATCCTCGGTCCCTTCTGTCAAAGGATCGAAGTCAGCGTTAGGATTAAATGTCGGTCATTATCTTCTACCGCCTCGTACATATACAAAAGGATGTTTATAGCCGGCCTATCTGAATAGTCCAACTGATCAGTTAAATCGGAAGGTTTTAATTTATTGTTTTTATTCATAGGGGTGCGGTCCATGCGTATGCCCATGGTGCGGTGGTGTGTGGTGCGCGCGTTGTTCGCGGCGCATGTCGCGCTGCGCCTGGTGCCGCGGCAGCCTGCGCGCACCCGCCGCGCCCTGCCTCGCGCTGCAGCGACTCATCAATGACCTCATGCTGCCTTGCCGGAATTACAGGTACGTTATGCCAATAAAGATTCAACATCTCCTTATCCTAGTATCCCTCCTCCTAGCTCCTTGTCCACTCCACGTAGGATCAGCTCATACTTTCTATTATTTCAAAATCTAACTTCCATAACTTAACCCAACAATGTTTAGTTAATAGGGAAATATTTTGTAGTTTAACATTTTACGTCAGTGATTTATGGTCAAGTAATTACTTTGATAATTTAAAAAAGGACCTGATTCTACATAGAAAAGTCCCTTTCAAAATTCCATATGAAACGCAATTGTAAATATGTGCAATAGATAATCCGACATAATCCATTCTTACAACATCTTGATTATGATGACAACAAACTCTTCGTTGATATAAAGCATTGTTTACAATAAAGACAATAAAAACCTCGGTGCACTCGACTGATAAAAAATGTGAACGCACTGCAAGGCTAAGTTCTCCAACTTAACTAGTTTGTACTGGTTAAGCACTCAAAGTAAACAAACTTATATATAGAGGAATGAAAATATTTATTTTGATTCATTTATAATCGTTTGAAACTCTTGTAGTCATATACTATTATACATGCGGGTATATCAAACATATTTATATGCGTGCAAAACATATCTTTTAAATCTATATATATAAAAGAAAGTCGTGTTAGTTATTCTATTTATAACTCAAGAACGGCTTTACCGATATGGCTGAAAATTGATGAGGAGGTAGCTTAGACCCAGGAGACGGACATAGGATACTATTTATTCATTTTTTCTATTTTTTTTATTCGAATTTATGCCTTGAAGAGATGCTTTTTATTTAACTTACTAATATTATAAATGCGAATGTTTAGATGGATGTGATGTGAATGGATGGATGGGTGTTTGAGAATATCTCTAGAACGGCTGAACGGATCTCGATTAAATTTGGCAGACGTATAGAACATAGTCTGAAAGAACACATAGGCTCCACCAATTAAGCTTTTATATATCCACGCGGACGGAGTCGCGAACGACAGCTAGTAGTGAATAAATAATAAATAAATACTGCACTTATATATAACACTAGCGGACCCGAGAGACGTTATCCTGTCTACACGTCTTTAATTTGAATAAATTAATATGAAGTTAATATTTGATGAAAATTGTGAATCTAAACCATTCCCAGATCCCCTTGAACATACACAAAAAATTTCATCAAAATCGGTCCAGTCGTTTGAGAGAAGTTCAGTGACATACACACTCACAGAAGAATTATATATATATAATCATTTAACACTTTCGGACAATTTAAATTGATTAAAAACACGATTTTATTTATAGCTTTATCGTATTACAAATTAAACTAAAAATAGACTGATTTGTATTAATATATCTGATCTTGATAACATTTATCGCAGATTATAATAATAATTATTCAGTCATACTTGAATTTTATAAAATTTAAGGAACGTATTTGTAAAAATAAATTGCTTCTTTTGTTTTAATTTCCTCATTTCATTTTCCTTATATTTTTAAAGATTATATTACTTAATTAATTACACACCTCAATGTTCTTTGTGTTAACATACAAATTTTTGTTCTCAGGCGCGGGTGCACAGAACTCTTAACAACTAGCACAAGGGCAAAGCACGAAGAGGAATGCAAATATGACTCAATGATCTGCCCCGTCACAGCGACTTGCTCCTCCATAGCATTCGAGGAGTTATCAGAGCATCTGCAGTCACAACACAACATCATCGCCGTCTATTCCCAGAAGATCAAGATCCTAATCGAGAACTTCCAGACGAAATTAAAGAAGACCGCATGCTGTAGGACGAAGTATAAAATTATCTTACTCTACCAGAAGAGTGCATTCATTATTAAAGTCTGCATCTACAACTTCCATGTCAAAGTTGAAGTGATGCGACGTAAACTAGGCTACATCGCTGATGTCAAATCGGAATCCAAAAAGAGCGAATATTGCGCTGTTATAGAATTCCAAAGTAAAGCATTATGCACAAAATCAGCTATATTAATAGAAAACGAAGCTTACAGCAAGAAAGCTGAAGTCCAATGGAATGATATTATAATGAAATCAGATACAGACGAGGCTATCACAATCCATGTGAACATAGGAAAATCTAATGCTGAAACATTCAAGAAAATAAATCAGACAACTTGATAAGTCGACGTATCAATGAACTGAACAATATTTAAAATATTTTACAAGTGTTAAATGTATTCCAAAATATTCCAAAAGTGATTTTAAAAGTGTTGACGTGGTCCAAAAAAAAATAAAGTTATTCTTAAAGTAAGGTTTAATAATTAAACCTACAAATAAGATGCATATAGTTGTAAGAATGACGTGAACTGATGTAGCTAAATGTGACTGATATAGTTTTAAATGTAGTTATAATATAACTGGTTATAAGTATTGAAATAAATTAATACGATCTTACAATTATATTTTATTTCCAACTTCATGTACGAGTATATAATGAAACGAAATTATTTAAATGTATCTGTGAAAGAAAGAAGGTAAGTAACGCTTGAGTGGACATGTCCAGCAAAACTCTTGCTTAATTTATCAACATCTTACTGCATTCGTTGCGTTATATTTGACTCGTTCACGTACCGACACGTGTTACCGGTTGAAAGGTCTGACATCGACTGACGTCCCCTCTCTCCGGCTTGTACTTATGGCGTGTAAGCTCGAGACAAAGAACACATTTATGCATACTCTACACTTACTATACGTCTCTACCGAGGGGCTCGGAGCCTACCCTAAGTTAAGGTCTAGGCCATAGTCAACCCTGCTGGAACAGTGCGGATTGACTTCTCACACATATCTTTGAATTTCTTCGCAGATATGTGCAGGTTACATCACGATGTTTTCCTTCACCGTAAGAACGTCGACTCAGATCCACAGAGTTTTATCCAAATGTAAATCAAACATCGAAAAACACATTTGTACATGGCGGGATTCGAACCTAGGACCGGCATATTGTAAGTCAAGTGCTTAAACCCTAAGCCACCGATTCGGTTGTTTAATTTACGGTAACATTTTCTTATGTAAGTCAACGACTGTTTGAATTCCAATTGCAAAAAAATAAACTTAAGATAAAGACTTTAATATGAACTTAAACAAAAACGGGCTGTTCTTTTAAGTTTTTATTTAATCTTAATTTATTTATACATACATACATACATTTATCATAAATTATGTGTAATTGCTTTGTATAACTCAACAAAGACGTTAAGCGTGTATGCAAATTAAGTTAATTAACATGAAATTAACACAATTTTAAGCCTATAAAAGCAATATTAATTATTAATAGTGCATTGAAAATGGAATGGCGGATCTACATGGCATTTTCATTGTGAAATATCAATGGTCTAATTTAATCGCGAGTACATAAAGTACAGTACAGTTTTGTTCAATACTTATTTAGCACAAACGATAATTTAACTTTGAAATATAGGGCACTATAAAGAGTGCTAATTACTTATATTATGAATGCGAATGTTTAGATGGATGTTTGTTTGAATGTGTCTCCAAAACGGCTGCATAGATCTCGCTGAAATTTGGCATAGATGTAGAACAAAGTCTGGAAGGACACATAGGCTCCTAATTTTTTTTAATTCCGCGCGGAAGGAGCTGCGGGCGACATGTAGTATACATATACAGTGATAGGTTAAAAGCCTACGGTAACTCAGGAGATACTAGGCCTTAGCCAACGGCAATGACCTCGTGCAGGTTGGTGGACTTCATACACATTTGAATTTCTTCACTAATATGTTAAAGGTTGCATCAATATTTGGAATAAGGAAGGAATAGTTCCAATTTTTTAGAACAATATAATCAAAATGTCATTGAAAAGCAGCAAATAATACGAACGACTGAACGGTTGAGTAAAGTTTAGCTTAGAAAAAATATCAAAATGTTTACTGATATTTTTTAATTAATTTACATAATAATATAAGTGTTAAATACTGGTGAGAATAGAAATGCATTCGCTGGATACCTTATTAAACCTTATAAATGTCTTCCTGACTACACAGGCATAGCGTAAGGACTCATAACAGTATCCGCTGCGCTTTCTAAACTTTAAATTCACGACATGTAACTCAAACGTGATGAAATTTAGTAGCCAGGTACTTCAATGGACAAACGTAATATAATATTTAGGTGTCTTTATGTAATGTAGTTTAGAGGTTATTATAAAAAATCAAATGTAACCGATTTTTAAATTTGGATATCTTTAGTTTTTTAAGTAATATTGATAATGTAAAAAAGAGTTAAAATGCACTACAATTAAGGGGTCTAACTCACAAAGGTCGCAAAGTCTCGGAACATCGGAAGTTTTACGTCAATAGCAACACGTATGTGTGAAGCGATTGATGATCTTCATTTATTTTTTTCTTGTCTTTTACACTTACTTTGAAAAAAATTGTGACGTGGAAAGATTGAAAAACACTGAACTTACTATACCGTCTAAAATCATTTTGTTTTCACTGTTTTGTCAAAAAATGACATGGATGACGTTACAGAAGTTTTCATCTCAGAAACCCACGGTAAACAATGTGATGAACTCTATGATGACGTAATAGTGTTCTACAATTCATCACCACAGTTAACTATTAACCTATTTACATTAGGCAGTGAAAATAGAAATTGATGAGTCAATGTCAATATTTTGGCTTCTTGTGCTAATTTTAAGTTCGTAGTAATTTAATTTACAACTTTCTTTTCCGGTCAAATATGGTTGTGGATTAGCGAAATTTTTTTACATCTTTTCTAATGAAACACTTTCAATCTTAATAGAAAAGAAACTTAGGTAATAAAAAGTATTTACTTCTTAATAAAAATAGAATTGAAATTACTCGCTGCAAAATTTAGAACCATCAATTTAGTTTTAGCATCAAAAATTGTTAAGGTTCGGCGTCAAAGTTTAGATAATCTTCCTTATTTGGGGTTCCGTACCTCATAGGAAAAAAACGGATCCCTTATAGGATCACTTTGTTGTCCGTCCGTCTGTCTGTCAAGTCTTTTTCTCAATATCTCTTTATAAAGCTGGAATTTATATCAAATACTCAGGTCTGCGGTCGCTAGATGCTGTAAAAAATAAAACTTTTAAACCAATGCAATCAAAAGATACAACCGTTTACGTCGCAAATTTTCGACTTTCGCAAGGGAATCAAAACCTACAGGGTACTTCCCGTGAACTTAGAATCTTGTTTTAAAGAATACAAACAAGCAATAACTGGCAGATAACAAAAATCGGCAAACATAATGTGATGAACAAACAAACATACTCCTAACCCGAATATTGTTATCTTAAAGTGCACATATCTCTGGCCTAGAGAACTGAAAATCTAAATAACTAAAGCAGCTATACTATGAAAGGTAATCACTCAAGTTTATGAAACACAGATGACATTTGGTACTAAAAAAGATCGTTAAGATGATCTTAAAAACGATGAACGAACGGTTTTTATCGAATGTATTACCCTTATAAAATAATCTAATGCCATCTAAAAATAAATAAAAACTTATTATAAAAAGTTTTTATTATCAAATTATTAAATTTTTTATTGCCGGAATAGTTTATTCATTAATTTTATATACAGTACATAATTTGAGTCACGACAGTCTCAACTTAATCTTTACAATGGAAAGGAGAGCCAAGAACATATGATTCAATTTCTTGCAGATGCCAAAGATATGACTCAACTTAACAAAATAAACACAATGTCTTGTTTGTCGTTAGCGGGATTATTAGCGTACAAGAGTTTAACAACCGACCTGATTATCATCTCTCATCTACTGTTCTGTTTGAAGTAAACACAATAGGACTTGGTCTTCCAAATAGAGCTGTTAGTAATCATATTCTTAATCAAATCATCACCGATCTATAAATCAAAATCTTCTTGTCACGTGCTCCTTTTTCTCCTCATTCATTCCAGCTAATGCTCCTGCAGTCGATATCAATGTTACCATACTATTTTTCCTTAATAAAAATTATATACAAAGAACTATAGGCATTATAATGTTTTGCTTCTCGTATAAAACCGGAACGGGTTGCCAATATTATTAATATTCTATAACTACTTGGTATAACATGTTTTTCAAAAAATAATAAAACTATTTAGCTGCGAAGCAGAATTTGTAAATCTAATACATTCGTTTTTTGACCTCTAACATACCAGACTATTTCTTACCCATGTCTTTGTCTGTTTAGAAGTTGAATTATCGAAAAACCTGAAATTTATACTCAATTACTATAGTAAAGTGCTTCTTTTAATTATCAGGAAATTCTGCAAGAGAAAATTACTGCTACACTTTTCCCCCTCCAATTTCGTTACCTACGTAGAGTATGAATTTTTTCTTGCCTACGTAATAAAAGAAATCATCAACCTGCCCTTATCCCTGTTGAGGGTCGACACAGTAAGTACTACTCCTCCATACATCTCTATCCGCTTTAATATCTGAATACACACCCTTCTTACGCATATCCTCTTTCACACGATCTATCCATAATTTCTTTGGTCTACGTAATAAACACAAAATAGCAAGTCTAGTGTAATATGTTTCTACTTTTATATATTTAGATAGATAATCTGATTTTTAGTAAATTATTCACTTTATCAACTCATTAATTTATATTTAAATAATTTGAATTTATATTTTGAAATTATGCGTTATTTATTCAATTTTATTTTAATAAAGAGAAGAGATTAATATTTTTCTATGCTCAAACTAAAAAACTACTGAATTACAAAAATTGTTTTGGTTATACAAAGATAAATTAACACTTAGTAATCAAGTAATAATTATAGGCTATATTTATACCTAGGTTTTTTTTTTAAATTCAGCTCGGATTCCATTCCATTTATATAAGACAATTTATAAAATTACTTATGTACTTACTTAATTATTTATGTAAATTACAAATCAATTTACAGACACAATATTTCTGACCTAAAAAAAATTAACTAGAAGTATATTGTAGAGAAAATTATTTTTGTCTTTACCATTTGGGTTAAACGACTCACTTAACACTTTCAATGAAAGTTATAGTTGAGATAAATTCTTTTTAAATTCGTGACTTTACACTTGGTATGTAACAAAATGTTTGACTTTTAAGTAGGTGACCAGAATTCATCTAATATAGTGACTAAATAACGGAGACTGTAAAGAAAGTCTGCAAAAAAGACAAAAGAAATCATGATGTATTTAACATATTTGAACATACTGTATTCTTTTTAAACATTATATTGTTGTCTTTTGCTAGTTTTTATACGTAGCACATATAAAAACAAATTAACGTCTTTCCCACGGTAATCGGTTACAAGAATATAAATATCCGATCATCACTTTACTTGTAGAACATTTATATTTTCGTTTAAAAAAATTAAA